ATTGTTTAGTCAAGTATATTCTGTGACCTAACATATTGTTTTTCAGTACGACGTGTCAGAAAACAGTGAAAAGAACACAAGAGTATTTTCGGTATAAAAACAGTTTTCTTAACTATGTAGCTTAATTATCTTTAAAATAGTCTGGCGCTTTACCTTCTTTTAAAAAATAGTAGTTTACGTTAAATCACATTATTTTCTTTGTATTCTAAATTATACAAAAATAAATCATCATTTTGGTTCCTTCAAAGCTATATATATATAAAGCAAAATTCAACAAAATAAAAATGAATATTCAAAACACACTTTGCGGGAAGAAAATGAAGAAGATATGTCCCACGCCAAAAAAAAAAAGTCACTTTATGATTCATCATTCAAAGTTTCATGAATATTCATGAGATCTCATCATTATTTTTAAAGGAATATTTGACTGATTGTGATACTAATCAACCCTTATCTCATAGTTTAATTAATAAGTTTGTAAAATATTCTTTGGTGTATATTTTTTTCTTTTCCTTGAAATGTTTAGAAGTTTACTTCAATATGAGAATTAATTCTTTCCGGTGACCAAAATTGAGAAACTTTCTGGTTTTAATGATATGGACAAAAACATCATAATGATTTTTGGTCAGGCCTGGCATGTATGAATGAATAAATTCCCCTTTTTGGTCTTTTATTCCTTCAATTTTTTCAATTTACCATTTTTATTTCTTATACAGAAAATGTATTTGTAAGCTTTCTGAAACAAATTCCGTTTTCTCCGCCTATCAGGAGAGTTTGCTCATCGAGAGAACCCGACTTCTTCCGAAACTTTAACCAGGTACGATGAGATTCTTCTTGTTGACTTCTCTTACTATGATCTTTCCTCATAAGTTTGGAAAAACTTTCAGATACTACCAAACCAATAGCTTGTGTTGATTCTTAGGATATATATGATTACTCAAGAACTGTACTTTTTGCTGTAAGATTTCAGAGTGTTTTTGCAATTGCAGAGACATGGTTGGACGAAGCTACAGCTTAGATACGCGCAGAGTTGAGTCCACGGATCTTAGAATAGCTCTTTATGAGATGAAAGAAGACGTGCAGAGACTCGAGGAAGAGTTGGATGCTGAAAGAGAAGCGACTGCCACGTCAGCTAGCGAAACCATGTCTTTAATACAAAGGCTTCAAGGAGAGAAGGCAATGCTTGCTATGGAAGCTAGCCAGTACAAGAGAATGGCCGAGGAGAGAATGTCGCACGCTGAGCTGTCCTTGGAGCTCTTGGAGGAACTGAATTACCGTAAAGAAGTTGAAATCAAGAATCTTGAGTGTGAATTACATGCCTACAAATGCAAGCTTATGAGCTTGGGATGCGGCGGAATTGATGATTGTATGAGATGTTGCGATAGATCTCAAACGCCGTCTCCAGAACCGATTGATACAGATCTTTTGGTTACAGTAGAGAAGGGAGTTATTGAGCAGAGCTTGGATTCATCAAGAAGACACCAGGAGAAGATCAAGAAGCTGGATGAGCAATTGAAAGAGCTTATGGACTTTGGAGATACTATAAAAGATACATACAATACTTTGAAACAAGAGACATTTTCTGTGTCTGAAAGTAAGAATGGAGAAAAGGGTAAAGGTTTTGCTGCAAGCTCGTCGAACATTCAAGATATAGTTGAAAAGGAGAGAGCAGAGTGTTTTTTGGTGAAGAAGATGTCTAAGAAATCATCTAAACGGAAAAGAGACAGAACTATCAAAAGAGATGATGCAAGTGGAAGCTGTTCTGCAAATGATACAGATTATCAAGCAGAGTTGCAGCGGTTAAAAGAGAGAGTAGATCGGCTTGAGCGGGAGAGATGCAACATAGAGACTAAAACTAGTGAAGTAAATCAAGAAAATATGAATATTCTGAGGAAAACAGAAGAAGAGTTAATCTCTGTGCAATCTGAAGTTAAGAGTGTGAGAACAACCCAAAAGTTACTTCCTAGTGATGATTCAGCCCTTGTTGCTGTTCAAGAGGTATGGTAACATCAACTTTCTTTCGAAAACTTATGACAGTACTTAGTGCTAACAAATCTTCTTCTTGTGCATGTCTATTGAAACAGGCAATGCTTTACTTTTGGCTATGAGACACGCCTTTCGTCTGGACTTAACGGCATTAGAAACAAGATTTCTACAAATAGGAACTACATCTTGATTTGATTGAGAAGTATACAAACGTTGAGAAGCTTATATATAGTGTGTTACTAGGTGTGAAGAAATAGCTAAAAAACATTAGTTTAAAGAGTGTGATTAAGATTGTATTTGCGTTTGTCATACATATTAGTTTATAGTATGTTACTAGGTGTGATTATATATTAGTTTAAAAAATATCTTCTGTAAAATTTGAGCCTTTGAGAAACAAATTTTCTTCTATTTTCTAGATTTTTCATGGGTTTTTCTTATCATGCTTTCACATTTG